GGCCCGCAGCCTTCAGATCCATTTACATTTTGGCCCTCCCAGGGAAAATGTTTGGGCACCCCTGCTTTAGAGTAATCTAATGATTTTTATAAAAAATAAAAAACAAAACTCAGCTTCAAATTAATTTTCTCTCAGAGCCTGCAGGACGATAAAAACAATAAAAATTAAATTAAATAAGTCAGGTAAAATTAGAAATAAGTCCACCCTCTTCTCCTCGTCCTCTCCCCCTCCTCTGCCTGTTCTGTTATCCGCGGCAATCACCCCCTCCCGCGCGCACACACGCACGCACCCCCCCAATTCCCCTGAGCGCTCGCGCGACAGATACGGAATTTAAATGTGAAGGTTTATAACATCCACACTGGCGAGGTGGATGCGCCCTGCACATGTATCCAAAACGTGACTTGTGCTGTCCTGCTGTTCTTGTCGGGGAGGGGTCTGTGGGTCAGGGAGKGGTCTGTGGGTCAGGGTCGTCTGAGGAGGAAGAAGATGAAGGGAGTTGCACACGGGAACTTTTATTTAAGATTTAAGTTTTTTTTATTTCAAAGGTCCTCATGGCTCAGCAGCAGAAGCATAAATATTACTGTTAAAAAAGCTGATGATAAAGTTGAATAAATATCTAAGTCTGATTCTGAAGGTAAATTAAATATCTGACAGTGATCATTACACAGTGTGGCTCTAATTCCTCACTTCACCATCTGTGTCAGTTTCACGTCTCCAAAATGAGCGTACACATGGGTCAGAGCTGGCTGAGGGACCGTACATTTTCACGTCAAGTTTGGAATTTATAAATCACAACCTTGGCGTAAAAAGTGGAGTACGTAAGTTTCTGGGCTCAAATTATGCGTACGCCAGTTTTATAAATCCGACCCCTGACCTGTCTGATGGGCTGGAGGTGGGAGATGAAAAGAGGAGGAAGTTGATTTATTTATCTATTTATTTTAATATTAAAGTGTAAATGCTGGGATTAAACTGTCGATTAATTGGACAGAAAGGTTTCAGGACTAAAGCCAGTAGACGTGAACCTTATTGTGGTGCTGAACCTTACAGTAATGTGGTGGTGTGATGTAGTGATGACTGACTGAACCATTCGATTTTAGATTTCAAATAACAGAGAATAACAGTGTCCCCTGACATATTCTGKTTTATTTAAATAAAAACAAAGTCGACCTTCCATTGGTCTTACTTGTTTTTATTGGATAACTTTGACTTCAATGTTTCTGAACTGATTTGATTAAAGTCTTGTTTTGTTTTTTAATCCTTTATCTCAGAGAAACCTAAGTTTGTGTTTCTCCTCCCACTTGTCTTGTAAAACCTTCCAGAGTCCTGAAGGGGGTCATGAGGGTTGGAGTTCTGGCCAAAGGCCTGCTCCTCCGTGGAGACAAAAACGTCAACCTGGTGCTTCTGTGCTCTGAGAAACCCACCAAGAGCCTCCTCACCAGCATCGTGGAGCACCTCCCAAAGCAACTCACAGTACTGTTTTTAYATTTATCATGCTGCACCTTACTGTCAGTTATTCCAACTCGTGTTACTCAACCTGTTTTCTGTAATTAACCAGCAGTTCTCATTCATAGCTTTTGTTACAATGTGTCACTGTGGGATGTGGACACTCTCATATTACCACACAGCTTATCCCTGACAGCCACTCAAATATCACTCATCCTCTTCCTGTGGAGAGTTAAAATGTGCTCTGCTCTGTGGATAGTTAGCAAGCCTGCTGAGGAGAGAGAGATGCTTCGAAGCAATAAGACGGTTTTAAATGAGGTTCAAGCTACTTAAAGGGTAGTGATGACCAGCCAATCAGGATTGCTGTAATGAGATAAGATCTGCTGAGGAATGACAGAGGGGCCTGTCCCCATAGTGAGACATGGAAACAAATGCAGTGAATGAGAGCTATTTTTATTTTTAGACTTTGATATCAAGTTTTGCCAGCGTCTCAYACACCTTTGTTTTAAAATGAGCCCAAGAAAATCTGTTTTAAGGTCTAAAAGCCTCACCACTTCACTTTACAGTCACTTGAGAAAGTATTCAAATTAGGGATCGACCAATACGGRTTTTTGAAGGCCGATACCAATACTGATTTTTTTTACATCAGTCTAACCGATACGTGCAGCCWTTCATTATTTTTTTTATTTTTGCCGATTCTTGAATTCGATACTGTCATTTCTTTCTCCATTAACATGATAAAAATAAGAATGATAACAAATATTACACAAGTCTCAATTTAAAACAAACAAACAAACAAACAAAAAAAAACATTTATTAACTGAGCCTTGTCTGATGCAGGCTGTATGAAGTGCTGCCGCACAGGATTTCTTCTTTCAGACCTTTCTTAAAAAAATAAAAAAAATTAATTAATTCATGTTTTATTTTATCTAGTGCTAAATATTCTGTTTTTATTTGTATATTAATCAGATTAATATATTTTTTACACAAAATAAAATGACTATGTTTTGATATCCCAGCATTTTTGATGCAAAACAGCAACATGCCTGATTAAAACTGTCAGAGGAGCACAGACAAAAAGGAGAGACACACATAGGTCTTGCTATCTTTGTGAGGACTTCACACACACACACACGCAGCGCTCAGTCTGCCTCAGTCTGCACCCGTTTTTTTTACACCAGGCAAAAAATGCATTTAAACCATCTGATGTTAACTCTAGATCACAGTTTGAAATGTGCACTGAAGAAAACCTGCAWCACAACTTTTATACTGCGGTCAGAGCAAACGTGATCTGAGCAGCGTCTGCCTGGTTCACATGTTTACAWGGACGGCAGCGCTTTACTCGCTCGTAACAGCGAGAAAAGACCAAGAGCTKTTTATTTTAATCCAGCAGGGAGAASGATACAGGTGTTCTTCTATGCCTCCTGTGATCAATTCCAGCATTTTTTAAAAGAAAAACAACGTGGACACACTAATTACTGTGCATTTTCAAAGCAAAAGTAAAAACATTGCGCTCGCTGCGCCCCTGTTCGAAGTGAAACTTAAACACACAGCTGTTCTCTCTGCCACACATAGTCCGACACAGAGGGCAGGAACAGCCAAATTAGACAGTTAAAGCACATTAAAAGTTCATAACTCACCCTTATTGAAGTTAGTTGTAGGAAGACATAATGTGAAAAAGTAAAGTTTTTTACAGGGATTAAAGTAGATGTGAAGTTGAGGTAAAATAATAGATGTATCAAAATGTTTACACATTCTTTTTTAAAGTGCCTGTGACTGATTGCACTTTTGGAAAGATAACATAGGCTACGTTCACACTGCAGGCAAATCCGACCCAAATCCGATTTTTTTGACCCATCTGACTCGTATTCGATTTTTTTATGACAGTCTGAACGCGACAAATACGATTTTTTCAAATCCGACCCAGGCCATTTCAGTATGTGGTTTTAAATCGGATATATATCTGATGTTTTCAAAGTGACTGCAGTGWGAACGCTCATGTCACATTCATCTGACTTTTTCATCAGGAGGAGGGGGTGAAGGAYCGATAAGACACTAACCTCAAGTCTCGCTGTTTAAATCTGTAGCTCCATGTGTTTACAGCTCCAAAACACAAGTCCAGTTGCTTCATCTTTTTACTTTTCATTTTCCACGTAGATAGTTTGATAATAACATGTCCAGCCTGGGTCGCGGAGAGTATCGATCCTAAAGTTAGCTACTCGGTCGATACTTTTTTTCCAGCTCGTAGTTTCGTTCAAAAAAAAACAAACAAACTGGAGCATCCCGGTCAGAGGCAGGTTCAGATATAAACACTGAACTAAAGAAGCAGGTCAGATAATTATTTAATCGGCTCTGATTAAACAACAACTTCAGATTCGATGCGCAAAATGTAGCATCCATGCTAGCTCTGTAAACAAACAAGCCGGCTGATGAGACGTCACGTCTTTTACTGCGCATGTGTGTCACATCAGTGCTGTGTAGCGTTCACACAGGGGTCTGATACAGGTCACATTTAAAATGTAATGTGAACGTTCACACAAAAAGATCAGATTTTTTCAAAAAATCGGAACTGAGCATTAAGACCTGCAGTGTGAACTTAGCCATAGATAACATATTGCAAAAGCAATTTCACACCACTGAGATGAACAGTTGTTGAGATAGTTGCATGTGAAGTAACAGGAAGTGATGTTAATGTCTGCATGTAAATACAGCTTTGCTACAACAGCTAACAACACAGACAGAAGGGAATTTTCTGATGTTTCTTTAGATAAGAGTCATAGGTCAAAYAATATTGTTTTAATAAACAAAGACAAGGTAGTTTTCCTTAAAGAGTTCCCCTTTGATGTCACTTCCTGTTTCACTTTAGCTGAGCCAAATTAAAAGGAAAATATGCCAGTTATGTGACAAAATGKGTTAAATCRTGTTTTATGCCAATTTTCCTAAATATGAAGATATTTTCTTTGATTTATTTGTATTTGATGGATAGACATGTCACAGGCACTTTAAAAACTGCTGTTTGTAATCAGCTCCATTAATGATCCTCCTAAACTCCAGATCAACCAGTCACCTGATCAGTCAACACCTGTGTCGTTTAATCTCAGTATAAATCCAGATAATCTGTCAGCCTCAGAGGTTTGTTACAGAAGATGAGTGGTCAARCAGCATCATGAAGACCAAGGAACACACTGGAAACAAACTGGACAGGTCAGGAATAGAGTTGTTGAGGGTCAAGTAGGGTTATMTCAAAGCATGTTCCTGTGTTAGAACGGTCCATCGAAGTCCAGACCTCAAACTGTAGAACACAGATGTTCTGTTTCAAATCTGAGTTGTTTTGCAAAGATAGTTTTAGTGGGGGAAACCTGGTAGAGACAGACCCCTAAAAAGTTGCAGGTTGAAWTACAGCAAAAAGTAGTTCTATAAAGTTTTGACTCGGGAAGATACAAAATTTCACCACAGCTTTCAGTTTTATTTGTGGTTGTAACGTGACAAACTGTAAAAGTTCAAGTAGTAAGAATGGTTTCTCAAGGCTCTGTGAGGAGGACTGTGACATCCCTCCTCTTGGTGTAATRTAAAACTGAGTGAGAACTTGGTGTGCTCAGTGGTAGAAATGACCTGGAGATAATCCTGTCCTTGCTCCTTTCTTCTTTTTTCCCTCAGATTGTGACACCAGAAAAATATGAAGTGAAGGCCTTGTTGCAGGAAGCAGCCATCATTCTGACATCCTGCAGCGAGCCAAAGATGCAAGTGACAATCACGCTGACCTCCCCTYTGATCAGAGATGAAACTGGCCCGGAAGGAGGTTTGGAAAGCCATCACTATCGTCCTGTTGCACCTTTTTTCTGGTCTTTCTGCTCTCTCTTTATACAATCACTCTCAGTATGTTGGTTGTCATCCTAAAGAGCACCGTCCTGCTGGCACACCTCAGTAATGTTGTTGAAATCATACATGCAAATGGCTCTTCATGCTTTATTAAGTTCAGGGATGACAGGAATGGTAGTTGTGGGCTCTCCAGGGTTTGCACAAAAACTAATTTTTGTCTCTCTCTCTCTCTTTTTTTTCCCTTTTTAATAAATGCAGTAATAAATTTACATCTTCTTTTACTGGTCCAAGTTAGRAGCCTATCACTGACCCTCAAACCACTAGCCTTTTTGTTATGATGTTGGTCAGATCCAGCTGTGTGTAAAATGATGACAGACAAGTGCCAGCAGTATTGCTCTTCAACCTTTTGCTCTGTGACTCCTACCTTTTTCAAATGCTTTATTTTATCCTTGGAGCAAAGCATGCTCAGTGTTTGCATTGTGTTATAAGTCTAGTTTTTCCAAGGTGAGACTCTATTTTGTTTCCTGTGTTCCAGGAGATTGTTTCCATTTGTACTGTTGGCTATAACCAATGGAAGACATCATTACATCTTTTCCCCACATTGCCCCCTCTTGAGATTAAGACAGTTCTCACAGAAGACAAAGTAGACACCAGGAGGCACATCTGAGCCTCAAGTTTAATTTGACTTCATTCTGCAAAGGTGTCTGGATTTGGAAAGCCATGCTCACATTAAGCTTTGTCAGAGGAAATGGATGTAATTTTTCCACAGGAAACAAATCTTCCTCTTGTGTGTTGGTGAACAGTTCACCATGCTTATGTCATCTGTTCTGAAGTGCTCCCCTGAGGTGACAGACAGATTCTTTTTCCACACACAACTCAAAATTGGGCTCAGGGTAACATTCAGTCGAAAGTCAAACTCCAAACTTTTGTGTTTTTCATTACCAATTAAAAACTCATTTGAAAACACACCATTGAATTCAGTAACGATGCAGAGCTGATCAACAATAAGCTATATTGTTTGAAATCCTGTTTGCAGATGTTCTTAGGGGAGTATTGTTGAAAGTTTAGAAAAGAAGGCTACTATAGAGGAACCTTTGGTTGCATCTGAGTGATTGCTGGGGTCATATTTTAGCCTGCTGATGTTAGGTGTGCATGCCGTGATATCTAACCCTTTTGATTTCCGGCAGTCGTCATTTTATTTTCCTCAACACTGATCATTGCTTCTTCCTTTTTCACATGTTTAGTAGTTTACAGCCAAACACAAAGACTTGAACATTCTTCAGGACACAACTATCGGATTGTTTCACGTCTGACATTTAGGAGGGCCCAACAGTCTTGGAAGGATTTTTGACCAAGTTTTTCTCACAATTCAAAAACTTTGCCACACCTACTATTGTTGTGCCACTTTTTATCAGGTCACCTTTTTCCAGCTAGATTTTGTTTTTATCTCTGTGTTACCCAGTTTAAATGATGATTTATTAGATATTAAACAATCTCCTTTGACACAGAGAATAAAGATCATCTACACAAAAAGGTCAATGTTTATAGTATTTCAACGAGGTAATCTTTTTTTTTACCTGATAAAATAGTACTGGACAAGAGATTTTTAATTCCAAACACATATCATCATGCATGTCCACCCTCGTTCTGTTTAAAGGGTTTATATATCTGGACATAGTAAAACTGATCTGGTCTTTAACAAGTTCTAAAATCATTCAGATCTAACCTGTAGTGAATTAAACACTWAATGGATTTTATTACTGATCACCTGATCATCAGAAGGACCGCCTTTTATAAATGCAGGAGTGTGATTAGTTTGCTGTTTGTTAACACGATGGACTGGCCTCAGCAGTAACCTGATGCAGCTGCTGCTCATCAGTCAAGGCTTAAAGGTCMTTTAGAGTCCATCATTTTACAGAGAGAAATATTGTTATTATCATAGTTATTATTCACAAATGGTAAATATTTAAGACAGCTGACTGTTCCCAGGAGAGCACTCCTGAGGKAAATGAGCTCCACCTCAGACTGAACATGCCTCAGCTGGCAGGTCAGAGGTCGTGTTGGGGAAAAAGACTCTTGAACAGTTATTGCTTGTTTGGGGTGCAGGAGAAAACCCTCTGCTTTATATTAAGAACATGGCAACACAGTTTAGTTTTTTAAATGGTTGATCTGAACCTCAAGACTTCTGGAACAATATGAAACCAAAGTGAAGATGTTTACCCATAATGCACACAGCAGCACATAAGTACAAAACGCTCCTCTCAGCTGTCRGCACGGTGGTGGAGGACTAATGGTTTGGGCTTCTCTGTAGACCAAGGAATTCTAAATGTGAGTCCATATGTCTGATAGAGGAAGTTTGGACCAAACTGGGTCCATCAGGACCATGGTCCCAAACACAGCAGCTGATCTTCAACAGAACGGGTCAAAAAGAAAAGAACCCTGGTGCTGCAGTGGTGCAGTCAGTCAATTCAATTCAATTCAATTCAGTTCAGTTCATTTCAAATCAGTTCAATTCAGTTCATTTCAGTTCAGTTCAATTCAATTCGGCTTATTAATATAGCGCCAAGTCACAACATACGTTGTTTCAGGGCACTGTACATAAAAAGAACAATCTAAAGAAAAAGAAAACATGTTGTTGATAGAAATAACAATAAACATGTAGAGAAGAGAGACTAAAGACAATAGCAGAGTGAAAAAATGTGCTCAGTTTGTGCTCCAGCAGTCTAAGTCTATAGCAGCAGAAATGAAGAATAACTCAGGAAACCTAAATCCAACTATAGGATTTATCAAAAAGGAAAGTCTTCAGTCTAATCTTAAAAGTAGACAGAGTGTCAGCCTCATGGACAGAAACTGGAAGTTGGTTCCACAAGAGAGGAGCTTGATAACTGAAAGCTCTGCCTCCCATTCTACTTTTAGAAACTCCAGGAACCACAAGTAAACCTGCAGACTGAGAGYGAAGTGCTCTGTTAGGAAAGTATGGAACAACAAGATGTTTAATATATGATGGAGCTTGGTTGTTAAGAGTTTTGTATGTTAGGAGTAATATTTTAAATTATATTCTAAATTTGACARGGAGCCAGTGGAGAGAGTAACAATGCAGATCTTCCAAGATCTTAGCAGAACAAATGTTAAGTGTGGAACGTTGTAMAGACCGGATCATTTTATTATACTGATATTTAAAACCTTTCACCTGAGAGAGGCTGGACTTCCTTTTAGTCAGGCTGTAAGARTGGATCTTTGAGAGAGGAAATTACCTGTTCATTTTAAAATGTCATCTTTTCAGGCTCTAGATGTATCTGTTCAGTAARGATATAATGATGTCATTTTTTCTAAATATGACAAAGTATCCAACCAGTTTTAGGTTGTCATGGAAAGAAACATTGGTATGTGTGGCAATGTGTTTGTTCTCTGCCAGCCTCGCTGACCTGGTCAAACACCCATTCCTCTTCACCATTTTGACACTTGAAATCCATTTTTAGATGTAACCWTGGGTATGGTGAAAGACCCAGCGGACGTCTTGGACAGGCAAAAATGCCTTGACGCTCTGGCTGCTCTGCGCCACGCTAAGTGGTTCCAGGTTCGGACCATCATTTTACTTCCTTATTGTAGCCTTATGAGATGGATTATTTGTTAATTTATTTATTGAGTTTTAGCTTTTCTTAATCAACAGTAAAAGTACTATTATTTCAAGTAAAATGTAAATATTCAAGGATGCCTGCTAACGCAATGATCTGACTGTCCACTGTATGTATTAACTGTAAATCTAAATCTGAATCATGCTTTTAAAATACTATAAAAAATTGGCATCCTTGTATTCCCAATTCAATTTGCAAGTACTTATATTATAGTTACCTGTGATTCCATAAGGCTGCACAATAACTAGAACAAAATKACTTTATGTCCAACGTTTGTATTGTTTTCATTCTTAACTTTTTATAGAATGGGGACTGAGAGAAAAGGGGATACCTGAATAGTTTCCTATGATTTAGCTACTTGTGCAAAAACCATGGGCAAAGTAAATCAGACCTCCCTGCCTCTTTCAGTCCTTATGTGCTCCTCTCAGGTGGACTGTTAGACTTCTCAGCCCCTGTTTGTGAGATACCTTGATAAGTATGGGGTCAGAGTTTAGAGGATGGCAAGAAAAGCCCTCGTTTCTTGTGCATCTTGCAAACTTTGTGCTCCCTTACTAACTGTGAGGTACAAGACTACTGGGAATGGCAGCTGATTGCAGATGGTTATGGCTTATACACATCAAACTATGTTGAAGCTTCCATTATGCACAGTAGTGATTGGACCTCTATGATGGAACTGATTCACTTGTCATCTCTTGTCACTCTGGATCACTCCATAAACCTAACATTTTTGCATCAAAAGGCTAGAGCCAATGGTCTTCAGTCCTGTGTGATCATCATTCGAATCCTGAGAGACCTGTGCCAACGAGTCCCTACATGGTCACCTTTCCCTGGATGGGTAAGTTTACTCACTAATTGTGCTGAGAAAATCTGAACTTCACGTGATACATTCAAGGCCCACAGTTCTGTCATTGACATAAGATAATACTTCAATTATTGGAATAATAATCAGAATCAGGTTTATTGGCCAAGTATGTTTACACACACAAGGAATTTGTTTCTGGCAGTTCGTGACTCTCTGGTATCAACACTGTACAGACACTAAACATAATTCACACACATTACACTATATACAGAAAGATTCACATTGTACTAAACTGGTAAATTATATTTATAATAATTTATATTTATAAGGAATAAGGTTTAATATTAACTACCTTCAATTAAGCTTAGAAAAGACTGGTTTACCCTGACTGCATGGTTTCACTGATTAGACAAGTCGGTCGCTTTGACTTAACTGTTCAGTCAAACCTGTTTGACCTGTCAGTGTAGTGATGGACTGTTACTCCCAACCACTAATACAAATTTGTTTGTTACACATGAAAAATGTTCTTAATTAAAGTTTGGTCTTAAAACATGAATCAGATACAGTTACTCAAGATTTTACAAATGTGGACAAAATTGTTGGTAAAAAAAACAACCACAAAATACTGAAATAATTCAACACTGACATAACTAATAATAAATAAATTACTAAAAATTAAGTGGTTAAAATCACACAATAACTTTGAGTTGTGGTTCAACAGAATTATTTAAAAATCAATCTAGTGCAGGGGTGGGCATGCAGSCCTGCATGTTTTACTTGTTTCTCTGCTCCAACACACCTGATTGGAATGAATGGGTGATTATCAGGCTTCTGCAGAACTTGGAAGATGTAAAAAAAATAAATAAAAATAAAAAATCCAAGACTCGTCACCCGAAGTTATTTATCCACAAATATGTTGCAGGTAAAACTCCACAGTTTTTATCAGTCAGATTCCTCCATGCACAACATCTGCATTATCTCCATTCATGAGTTTTTCACGGTTTGACTATCTTTATAAAAGTCTGCTTCCTGGTAACAGTCGGCTCTGGAAGGGAGTCATTTTATTTATTTATTTATTTATTTAATGAGTGGTTGACGTAAAATGCAGCATTCGAATGCTTTCAGCACAAACACACACGCCCACAAACTAAAGACCAATCACACATTACCGTCGTAGCGGGAGGGGGGTAAAAAGTTCTGCCGGCGGGTTGTGTCAAAAGGGGCGGCCGAGTCGACGTTGAGAACACGTTGACATAATTTTCGCTATGAAACTGTGACAATCCGTGCCGACTTCGGCAGTTCGGAGAGAGTGTGAAGTAGGCTTAACTCAAGGACTGAATCAGCTAAGTTGGAGCAGGGAAACATGTAAAAAAACATACAGGGCTGCGGCCCTCGAGTACCAGGATTGCTCATCCCTTATCTAGTGAAACAAGCCTGGACAAAAATGATGGCAGCTCTAGAAAAGATTGAAACTAAATTTATCAGAGACACGTTAAACTAAAGTGAGCCTCTAATCAGCATCCCAGGTGTCTTCAAGCTTGTAATCAGKCAGTCTACTTGTTTAAAGGCTGACAGGTAGTCACAGTACTGTTTGGTATGTCACTGAACATGGACCACAGGAACTGAAGGAGACAGTTGTCCCAGGTGATCAGAAAGAAAGCATGTTAAAGGTAAAGGCTGGAAGACTTGATGCTCCTGTGACTACAGCTGCACAGATTATTCAGAAGTCTAAGGTCTACAAGACTGGAGAAAATCTCCGTGGCCACAGGAGGAAAATTGTTTAAATTGAAAACCTGAATTAAACGCAGAAAGCTGCTCCAGTTCACAGTTAAGAATATTTATTTTGCACACATGAAGTAACACATACCACGTGGGACCATAGTAATCGTCTTCAGGTCTGTATCAAGCTACTTAAAGGGTAGCTGAGATCTCAGATCTCAACTACCCTTTTCAAACCCAAGTCAGGACATGGCAAATACATGAACAGGTGAGAGCCCTCAGCTACTGCGTGACTTGAGTCTCTTATTGTTCCTCACCAGCTGTAATACCAAACCCCTATATTACATGTTGGTTTTAAAAACAAAACAAACATGGTTACTTTTATTTTTACAATTTTAGTTTGAAATGGAAAAACCTAACACACATGGACAGATTCAGAAGTCTGTGACAACTGCATCAGTGCCTCCACAACTGAGACTGGTAGCATGCAACACTTAGCCTGATGTTATGCACACTGAGTTACAGCATTCACTAACACTAATAAATTTAAACATTAAGTTTCTTAAAAGAGCCTGGAAGTTTATAAGCCCAGCTGTCACAAGGAACTGACTAGCACACTCCCATCTCTGCTTTTTCAGTAAAATTCTGAGACAGTCTTTGTACATCCCATTGAGTGTACATGCTAGCTCCTGTATAGTTAGGCCACAGAGGTGCAGTATATGAGGTAGATGTAGTAWACAGTAGGCCTTAAACCAGGGGTGTCAAGCTCCAGTCCTCGAGGGCCGCTATCCTGCATGTTTTAGAGGTTTTCCAGCTCCAACACACCTGATTCAGTGATTGAATTAACTCTTCAAATTGGGCAGAAGCCTGTTAATTACCCAGCGATCAAAATCAGGTRTGTTGGAGCAAGAAAACCTCTAAAACATGCAGGATAGCGGCCCTCGAGGACAGGAGTTTGACACCCCTGCCTTAAACAGAAACTACCTCATCAGTACATGCACCACCTCCCGTGTGGCGCTGTGATGTAAGTGACCAATAAATTTGGCCTTCAGAGGACCCAGCCCCTGATTTTGGACACAGCCTGAGAGTAATAAAGATTTTCCATATTTAAAAAAAAGTATGTTAAAAAGAAGCTACATGTAGATGTGTTAAATAACTCAGAACATACTGTACAACCCTTTGTTTGAACCCACCCATTTTTCAAGTGAACAAAACTATTGGAACATGTAACTGACAGGTGTTATTGACCAGGTGTTTCCTTTAAGATTGATGGTTCAAACATGAAATATCTCTGCATGACTAGTCTACTGTTTGACCTGGGTTTAAACCTATAAAGTAGGTAGTTCTTGTTAAAGAGGATAAACTAACATGAAGACCAGAGAGTTGTTTATGGGAGAAAAGATGAGAAAAGAAGGGAAATCAGTCAGAGCCACTGGACAAACATTGGGCATAGCAAACAACAGTTTGAAATGTCCTGAATAAGAAAGAAACTACTGGTGTTCTGAACAACAGACAACAGGTCGGCCAAGAAAACAACAGGAGTTGATGACAGAAATATTGAGAGCTGTGAAGAAAAACCCCAAAACATCAGTGACATCACCAACAACCTCCACAGTGCATGGCTGAAGGTTTCACAATCCACTGTTTGAAGAAGACTCAGAGCAGAAATATAGAGACCAAACAAAGATACAGACCACTCATCAGTAAAAAGAATCAGAAGGACAGATTGAAATTTGTAAAAAAAGTAAAGAGATGAACCATAAAAGTTCTGCACGACACCCTTCTGGACTGATAAGACCAAGATTACCGGTAATCTCTACCAAAGTGATGGAAAGACCAAAGTGTGGAGAAAGAAAGGAACTGCTGATGATCTGAAGCACACAAACTCATCTGTGAAGCATGGGGCAGGGGATGTCATGGCTGCCTCTGGATCAGACTCATTAATATTTATTGATGATGGAACTGATGATGGCAGCAGCAGAATGAATTCTGAAGTGTACAGAAACATTTTGTCTGCCAATTTAGAGAAATGTATCCAAACTAATCAGGAGGAATTTTATCATGCAGCAGGAAAATGAGTCAAAACACACTTAAGAGCTTCATCAGGTTTTAGATTGGCCAAGTCAATCACTTGACCTGAACACAACAGAGTCACCTCCTGAAGAAGAGACTGAAGGGAGAGACCCCTGAAACTGACTCATTCGTGTAAAGCAACTAAATGGCAAAAACATAAAACCTCCTGCCTATTGAACATCACCTTATAAAGCTGTGACATATTTTGCAAAAAGCAAGATATTTGCAAGACATTTGAATGGTCTGCGAGTAAAATAAAATGTATTTTTTTAGTGTGAATTTAAAGCAGAAATTGTTAGAATACTGTTTTCTGCTGGTGTAGACGTGTTTACAATGGATAGTTCCCTTTCAGTCAATTCACTCGGTACAACATCATGTATGGGAACCACGCCCCTGCGTGTCCTGGCTGAAGCCACCTCTAATCACGCCTTTAGGCAGGTGATGTGATGACGACAGATGTCAGGCTCCGCCTGTCGCCATCACAGTCACTCCTTAAGTTCGGTGACTGCTCTTCACCGAGCCCAGCTGTGCAGCGGGGGGCCATCATGTGTTGTACCTCGTTCCTTTCCTTCAGGGAACAGTAGTTA